TTTTTTTTTTTTTTTTTTTTTTTTTTTAATAAAAAATTAATAGTTGAATTTATTTATATAATTTAAATTATATTATAAAGCAACCGCACACAAGGCTAATTCCTTTAAATGTTGGAATTTAATTAACTTGGAGTATACGCAAAAAGAATAGGGTTAGTGATGATAATGGTCTAATTTTAATATCCAAAAAATGGAGACTTGGAATTGCACTACGGTTTTGTGGAATCGTAGATGTCGTCTACGTCTTTTGTTCTAACCACTTCGTTTCTAGGAATCCAATTCAGAGTTGAATATTCGTGGACGATGATCAAGCTTTTTCCAGAAACTTTACTATTGACTTTATGAAACCGATATATTCTTGAGTGTGTGTTAACATGTTTGTTAAGGAGAGGTTTCCACACTCATAGAAATACACAGACCCTTTTTGGGTGAATGGGGTGATTAAGAAGACACATTTATGATCTATGGTTTGTCGGAGTGACCTCCACTGTGTGCTTATGGCTCGGAAAGTTGGTGGAGAAAGCTCGATGCTTGTAGCTTATGTAGTTGTCGGGCGGTAGAAAGTTTGCTTCTTTCTCGTTGTCTCTTTTTCGATGAAGTAGAAAGTCTTTCGGTCGCTTTGATTGGTAGGGGCGTGAAGTTCGAATAGTTAAGTTATATTTAGGTTGGCAACATGAATAGAGACGTACGTGAGTTCATATTACTTAATAACATCTTAAAAAAATTAGGTAAAAGGAACAAGGTTGGATTTGAGCCACGAATGCACGTACCTGAAAAAATAAATATTACATGCTTCTTCTGCTGTGATGTGACCCTTACGTAGTGGTGATTTTATGGACATGTTTTGTTTGGAAATCCCTCACTATAAAAAGGCCTCTCACAAAGCTTGAAATGGATATCAACTCTTACCGTCTACAGATTTGTCTCCGGCGACACCGGCGGTATGGAGCATCACACCGGACTGTGGACCCAAGCCAGGCCATTTATTGCAGTGATTCTTCAGCAGTTCATCACTGCCGGAATGGTCATCATTTCCAAGTTTGCTCTTAACCAAGGACTCAACCAGCACGTTTTAGTCGTCTATCGTTACGCCATTGCCACTGTTGTCGTTGCTCCTTTAGCTCTCGTCTTTGAAAGGTCTCTCTTCTTTCTACTCTCTCCTCTTTATCTCTCTTTGAGAGAGTTCTGTTAACGGTGTTAATAACAGGAAAGTGAGACCCAAGATGACTTGGTCCGTTTTTGGAAAGATTGTCTTGCTTGGATTATTGGAGTAAGAACTTTTAACCCTTAATCTCCACCGAGCGAAATATTAAATTTAATGTAATCTACCAACTTAAACTTTTGAGTCTGTATCACAGGCCTGCACTCGACCAAAACTTATATTACACGGGCATGAAGTACACTACAGCAACTTTCGCCTCTGCTATGACCAACATGGTCCCTGGTCTCATCTTCCTCCTGGCTTGGATTGTTCGGTAATTTAGTTAAAAGCTTCAATTATATGATTGCGTATTAAATGTTTTGATATTTACTAACCGATATTAAAAAACAAAAAACCTTTTAGGGTTACGAAATAGGTAATTTCTGATTCTATGGTCAGATATGTCTATTTCATCATATTAAAATAGATATGTCTATCTCAATTAATAAAGTATATGGTCATGGAATCACTAATAAAGAAACACTAAAATATAAATATTGGAATTGAAATATTTTAAAGATTAGAGACAAAATTAAAGATACAATCTGTTAAAGCATATACAGATGACTAAAAGTTCAGCTAACCTAATGTAATGATCCAAGCTCACCGCTAACATATATTGTCCTCTTTAGACTTTTCCCTTCGAGCTTTCTCTCAAGGTTTTTAGAACGTGTCTGCTAAGGAGAGATTTCTACATTTTATAAAGAATGTTTCGTTTTTCACTACAATCAACGTGGGATCTCACACCTAAATACTAATTAAATGATATATTATCGACTAAGAGCTCAGAGATGAACTATAGTTCACATAATGAATCCCATCTGTTCTATGTTTTGTTTAGGCTGGAGAAGGTTAACGTAAGGCAGTTGTCAAGCCAGGCAAAGATACTAGGGACAGTGGTAGCGGTGGGAGGGGCTATGATAATGACTATGGTAAGGGGGCCAATTGTGAGCCTGCCATGGACAAAGAACACCCTCCTCCATCACTCTTCTGCAGCTGCAGTCAGCCAGCATGATTTTCTCAAGGGTGCTCTCATGATCACTACAGGCTGCATTTTTTGGTCTGTTTTTACTGTTCTTCAGGTAAAAATCCATCTTCCAAAATATTCAATCATTTGTAACAGCCTAAACCCACCACTAGCAGATATTATTTTCTTTGGACTTTCACTCAAAATTTTTAAAACGCGTCTACTAGGAGAGGTTTCTACACTCTTATAAAGAATGTTCTGTTCTCCTCCTTAACACATGTGGGATCTCACAATCCACCCCCTTCAGGGTCCAGTGTTCTTGCTGGCACACTGCCTCGTGTCCACTCCCCTTCAGGACTCAGTCTTCTCACTGGCACATCGCCCAAGCCCACCACTAGCCGATATTGTTCTCTTTGGGCTTTCCTTTTCGAGCTTCCCCTCAAAGTTTTTAAAACACGTCTGCTAAGGGGAAGCTTCCACATCCTTATAAAGAATGTTTGATTCTCCTCCCTAACCGAGGTGGAATCTCACATGATTCAACCCAACATGAAGAGATATTAGCAATTATAGAATGCTATTCTTAAAAGGATAACAGAAAAGGATTATCAAATGGGTTTTCATTTCTTAATTTCTTCAATCTTCCAGGCGATTACAGTAAAGGTATACCCTGCACAGCTCTCCCTAACAGCTTTGATATGCTTCACCGGCGCCGTGCAAGCCTCAGTGATAGCTTTGGGAATGGAAAGGCACAATCCTGCTGCCTGGTCATTACATTTAGATTCCACCCTCTTAGCTCCTTTATACAGTGTAAGAAATCATCAACTGAACACAGAATCGGTTTCAAATAGTTTCATACAATTCACAGTTCCCTGTTTCTTGTAGGGAATCATGTCTTCAGGGGTCTCATATACTATTCAAGCAGCGATAATGAAAACGAAAGGGCCAGTTTTTGCAAGTACATTTAGTCCCCTAAGCATGGTCATTGTTGCAATCATCAGTTCATTCGCATTATCCGAGATATTATACTTTGGAAGGTAATTAACCTGACTATTCCACAGCCCACCAATGCAGAGATCAGAGTTTGGTGATAATAATCCAAATGATCCTAAATATTTTGCAGGGTTCTTGGAGCAGCTGTTATTATTACAGGTCTTTATCTAGTTCTGTGGGGTAAAATCAAGGATCAGGCTCCATACAAGTCGGATATTGAGAAGATAGCCCCATCCGATCAGAAACCGACTGCCATAACCGACATACCTAAGACTTCAGATAAAGAACTTGTAGTTGATCTTGCTAGAATAAAGACAGTGGATGGTTCTGTTTGATACGAGCATCAAAGAGCAATCATCAAAACTTTCATAAAGCCATTGATGGGGTTAGGAAAGAGTCCATGCAGCCAATTCTGTTTCTCTCTGCTTCTGTTTCATTTGGGTGAATTTGGAAGGATGTCTAATATGCTTAGTGTATAAATTAGTCAAATTGTGAGGTAGACCCAGGGTCAAATTATTCTGAAGTGGACAACTCCTGATTCTTCATTTGTAATATAACTGAGCTAAATTCCAAAATGCCACTCATATGCCAACTAATTTCTAACTACAACAAGTGTAACGGTCCAAGCCCACCACTAGCAGATATTGTTCTCTTTGGGCTTTCTCTCTCGAGCTTTCCTTCAAGGTTTTTAAAAAGCGTCTGTTAGGGAGAGGTTTCCACCGTCCTTATAAAGAATGTTTCATTCTCCTCCCTAATCGATGTGGAATCTCACATCCACCCCCCTTCGGGGCCCAGCGTCCTTGCTGGCACCTGTTCCCTTCTCCAATCGATGTGGGACCCTCTAATCCACCTCCTTTGAGGGCCAAAGTCCTTTCTGGCACACCGCCTCATGTCCACCCCCCTTCGAGGCTTAGCCTCCTCGCTGGCACATCGTCCGGTGTCTAGCTCTGATACCATTTGTAACCGCCCAAACCCACCGCTAGTAGAAATTGTCCTCTTTCGGCTTCTCCTCAAGGTTTTTAAAACGCGTCTGTTAGGGAGAGGTTTCCACACCCTTATAGGGTATTTCGTTCTCTTCTCCAACCGATGTAGGATCTCACCAGAAGAATTTAATAAGGATACTTTCAGAAGAAAAAAAATTGTAACTAAAACAAGGACATGAACTTTGTTCTATGTCAGGGACTGTCTGATGCAGAAAGCAGTAGACAATCCGCACCAACCATAGAGAGAGAAACTCATTGAAGTCTAAATCTTATCCTAATAAACAGCTGAAAAGACCATTCAAGTCAGGTATAAACAAGCTAATCTTGGGAAGCAAGCTGAATTAAACGTAGTTGGAAGAACCAAATGAATTGGATCCCTACCCAATTGTCATCATCTTGGGCACACACACACACACACATAAAAAAGACCAAATAGCTGATCATCCAGATAAGGCGGCATTTCATTCAACAACTACCATGAATATCAGATCGTATGTTTCATAGAACAGCCAAATTAATAAAGCCACTGAAGAAAGAACACCAAATGTACTCATTCATAGAGATCAAAATGACCAAATGTATTGCATTTCTATCAAAACATAGCAATAAATTTACACATACGGATTCAGCCTAAAAAATTCATTACGAGGAATTAACCCCCGCCGATGCAGCCTCTTTAATGGCAATAGAACTTACAGGAGAAATATATGGAAATTGAGCCTCATTTTTCAGGATCATTTTCTTGATCGGAAGTTCCAAACTTCTGCTTGAAAGAATCCTGCCTCTGCAACCACATCATGTGCCCCTGTACCATAAATTATTCCCCACACTCATATCAGCTGAGAGTTCAACAGGGAAAAGAAAAGCGGTGAAGATAAAAGTTAAACCCTAAAACAGGGAATTGCACCTGGAGAGCTGCGGCCCAAGCAATAAGGAAGGAGGCGAACCAGAATTTCTTGTCCTTGAGAAGATTCTTGACTTCCATCTCTTCAAAACCCTAATCCTGAACCAATTGAGATGTTGGACTGAACTCTCTTCCTTCTTCCACCCGGAGAATTTCGCGCCCACCAGATTTACCTCGCAACCTGAACGTCGGTTTGTCGAGTCGACTCTTCATGATTTTTTTCACAGTCGACATGTCGTTTTCTCCACCGAGCAGTGTATAGAAATTTCATTTCGGATTGGGGAACCATAATATATCTACGTTTTTTCTTAAAAGAAATAAATAAATTTTTTACTTTTAATTGCATCAAATTTAGATAAATATGAGATGTTTATGGGTCGGGTCGGGTCGGGTCGGGTCGGGTCGAGAGGAAGAGATTTAGGATCATCTTCCAGACTTGGTATAAATTAATATATATATATATGAACTAAAAATTATAAATATCTGTAATATATATTAAAATTATTTTTTAAAAGGTCTATAAATTGAAATTTTTTAAAAAATACTTATTAAATTTTAAAAATAGCTTAAGGATTTTAATTAAAAAAAGTTTTAAATTTTTTTTTACGACGAAAAATATCTATTAAACATGTATTATTTTTAAATTTTTAATTTTTTTTTAAAGTTTTAGAAGTATTTTTGAAACATTAATATTTAAAATTAGTATTAATTTAATCAACAAATTTATAAAAAAAAAATAAAGAAAAAGAAGAAAAAAAAAAATTAAACATTACAAAATTCGGAGAGGGAGAAAGAAACAACAGAAGAAGAGTGGTCAAGATGACCACAGAAACCCAACCCGATCAGATATCATTCTAAGTTTCCATTTTTTTTCCATTTCATGAGAGCTTCTTTGGATCAGATATGGCAGTTTCAACCTCATGCTTGAGTTGGGTTCCGACGTCCGCATCTAATTGGAAGGTTAGTAATTTGATTGACTGATCTTACACAACCCAATTCTTGAATCTCATTGTGCTTTAATTCCAGCCGAGGTTGCTTCCTTTCAATGAGCCATCAACAGCTACTTGTTCGTATTCTTCCTGTACTACCATCATTTGCTCAACTGAGAGAACTTCCCGTGTGGAAAGTAAGACTTGTAGTTTTAAGCTCTTCGGTTGATTCCAATGCTTGAGGTTTTGGTTTTGCTTGTTATGCGATGAAAATGCTCGTTTGGTAATTAATCTGATTGCTTGTTGGTGGAAATTTGTTTCAAATTTAGAGAACTGTGGAATTATATGAGATTTGTAGCTTGCATGCAAGGTGTTTGTAGAAATGTCAAAAACAAAAGGGGCTTCGAAGATATACGTTCAAACATGGTGACAACCTATCTAGGATTTAAAATGATATGAATTTACTTAGCAATCAAATGTAGTAGAGTTTGGTAGTTGTTTTTTGAGATTAACCAAGGTGTTCGCAAATTGGCCTAGACAGACATTGATGTTTGAAAAAGAAAAAATCGATGATAACTTCTACGTGACTTCTATGGTTTTTCATAGTGGGATTGTTCTCTCAATAAGTATTTTGATTAAGTTCTGCTTGGAATTTTAGCAAAATTATGACTCATTTCTATGGTTTTTATAGTGGGAATGTTCTCCTAAAGTGGATTTTGATTTGTTCTAATTGGAACTTTTCTTTTCTTTCGCTGTTTTCTCAAGCCTAGATTTCCGTAATGACCGTAATACTGTGATGTTGAATATTAACATTAGGTCATTGCAATAGAAGGCCGCTTCTGTTGGGAGTTGGAGCTCTAGCTGCAAGTTTATTTGCTGCAAGTCCCCTATTTGCTGAAGGTATAAATTCACTTCTCTCTGATAATCTAATGTTGGATTCTAAATTAATTTCGTGGTCTGTATGCGCAGAAGTCCCGAAAAATTATCGAGCATTTGTAGATTCTACAGATGGGTATTCCTATTATTACCCTTCTGATTGGAGGGTAAGAAAAATTCAACCAGGAGAAACATGAGATTTTTCTGTACTAAACCAAAGAATATACTAAAACAAACAATTTTGAAATGTTCCCTGTCCAGGAATTTGATTTTAGAGCACATGATTCGGCATTCAAGGATCGATACCTGCAACTACAGAATGTTAGAGTGAAGTTCATACCAACAGAGAAAAAGGATATCCATGAAGAAGGTTCATTAGATGAGGTAAAGGAATCTTCAATTAAAATCATATTTGATATACTGGAAAGATGTCTGAATAATTAACTCGACTCGACTCGACTCGACTCAAGCAGGTTGTTAACTTTTTGGTAAAACATCGATATGCTGCACCAAATCAAAAGGCTACCATATACGACATGAAGGAGGTTTGCATCTTTATCAGTCTCTCCAAATCCATATTTCTATGTAGTAGTATCTTGAGGTCTGTTTATGGACATCTGGTTGATCTTTTATTTACCTGTTTCAGCGAACGATTGATGGGAAAAATTATTATACCTTTGAGTATAAACTTAGTTCTAGAGCATACTCCCGCACCTCCTTTGCAACCATAGCCGTTGCAAATGGTAAGCTCATATTTTGTACCTTAAGAATTTTGGACCCTTCCATATTTTGATTTATCAGCTCTAAATCCCCTGCTTGTTGACCTAGGATACTTTTTTACCCAAGAGATGTTTGGAAACAATTTCATTCCAACAGAATCAAGGTTAACCAAACTCATTTGATCGAGTTGTATTCTGCAATCTTAAACTAGTTCATAACTACCCTATATTTTGTGAGTTGAATACAATTTGATTCGTGTTAAAGTCCCCGATCTTGAGCTGAATTAAACCTGTATTTATTCCGTTGCACTTGTATATTCTGTTGAGTTAATAGAAGCATTGCAAGTTTTTTTCACGTGGGAGAATTCAAATCTCTAATCGTTTAGTCGATGATATATGTCTTAACTGATTGCTATCCTCAGGTTCGGGTTAAAACAACCCTTTTTTGTAATATGCAGGTAGGTACTATACTTTGATAGTTGGGGCAAATGACAGAAGGTGGAGAAGGTATCGTGACATGCTTAAAGTGGTTGCCGACTCATTCAGAGTGTTGGATATCTGAGCTGTTTCTAAAGGTCGTAAATCACTCAGTTTCTCTATTTTAAAATTTCCCTTTTCATTTAATATGTAGCACTATTGCATATTGTTGTATATATAGTTGGTATATAGCTATCTCCCTTGTAAGGTATATCTTTTCAGAGCTAAATTTACTTCCCATTTGTCCACAGATGAAACAAAATAAGAACGCATTAGATTCCATGGGTTTAAAAATTCTGAAAAATTCTCAAGAAATAGTAAGATAAAAGATGGTTCTAAAAATGATGTAATTGTTAGGAACCACGACTCTCCACAATGGTATGATATTGTCTACTTTGAGCATAAACTCTAATGACTTTGCTTTGGGTTTCTCCAAAAGGCTTCATTCCAATGAAGATGTAGTCCTTACCTATAAATCCATGATCATTTCTTAATTTAGTCATGTCAATAGAATTCTTTAGTGTCGAACAAAGAAATTTCTAGCTTCGAAAGTGTAGTCAAAAGTGACTCATGTGTCGAACAAATGGTGTACTTTGTTTGAGGGCTCCTGAGAAAGGAGTCGAGTCTCGATTAAGGGGAGGCTGTTTGAGGGCTACATAGACCTCAAGGGAGGCTCTATAGTATATTTTGTTCAAGGGAAGGATTGTCCGGCGTTAGCTAATTTAAGGAATGATCATGGGTTTATAGGTAAGGAATACATCTTCATTGGAATGTGGTCTTTTGGGAAAGCCCAAGCAAAATCATGAGAGCTTATGCTCAAAGTGGACAATATCATACCATTGCGGAGAGTCGTAATTCCTATCCATCAATATTAAAAAAAATATTTATAAAGTTTATAACATCATGTAATGTTATAAACTTTATAAATGTATATATATATATATAATATGTACAAAGAGAGTGGAGCGATACCTGAGGAAATTTTCCTCTTGATCAACCAAAATACTTCGAATGAAAAGGAAACGAGTTGGTTGGGTTAAGCACAACCAAAATACTCGAATGAAAAGGAAACGAGTTGGTTGGGTTAAAACACAACCAAAAAACGAACAGCTATTGATTAATTGTAAACGACGTATTTACAAAGGTTACAAACGTATTCTTCCTCTTCAGCTTCCCAAGATTCCTACGAAGATTCAACATACACAAGAGAGAGGAGTCTTTGAAATGAAAAATAAAATTTAGAAAATGAAAACCACACCTAGAATTTGAACCCACCCCACCCCACCCCCTATTCTAATCATTCAATAAACAAATCAGTATACCATGGAGACAACAAACCCAATGGTATTGATGCTTGCCTCCTAAAGAATATGGATCTCTGGCCCCAAGAGAAGGCCCCCTTCGGTTAAACTCCAAAAAGCTCCTAATTCTGTACCCTACCACGTCTGAGCAAAGAAACTACTATTACTTCTGTCCGATCTGATGCCCCTAGCTATGCATGATGAGCTACAAAATCTCTCGGAGGAGTTCTCTTTCTCAGAATCTCAAACAGGGCAGATGGAGCTAACGAAGGCAAACGAAAACACACCGTGTTTTGAACAATCAGATTCCATAACTTAAACAAGTCGATGCTGTCGTAAACCCTTACCAAAATGTGGCTGCATCAAGCGGACGTATAGGCCGTTCTTAGCGACCAAGGAATCGTGAGTACCCTCCTCCACTATTCGACCACCATTTAGTACCACGATATTATCAACATGCCTCATCATTGCAGCTCTATGGGCAATCAGAATGGTTGTTTTGTTTCCCATGATTAAAGTGTCAAGAGCCTCTTGCACGACCCGACTTGACTCAGATTCGATCGAGGAACTTGCCTCGTCCAACAAAAGGATAGGTGCATTCTTCAACACTACCCGAGCTATTGCAATTCTCTGTTTCTGCCCTGGGGTTAGATCCACACCCCTCATTCCTACATGTGTGTCATAACCATGAGGTAGGCTACTAATGAAATGGTGAGCATTTGCTATTCTAGCAGCCTCTTTCATTTCAGCTTCACTAGCATTGTGCCTTGCATATATAATGTTTTCCCTTATGGTTGTTGAAAAGATTATAGGTTCCTGCTGAACAAGACCTAAATGATTCCTCAACCATCTCAAGTTATAGGTCTTCAAATCTCGACCATCCAACAAAACTTGACCCGCAACGGGGTCATAGAATCTCTCAATCAACGATATTATCGTGCTC